GCAGGAGTGCCAATATTTTTGGCCATGCTTGTATGTAACTATATAACACATACATGCACAATTCCTCTTTAAAAACAATACAATCACAAAAAAAACCCCGTTTTATTACAAAAAAATCCAGTGAGCTCTTAACTTCCTGTAGTGAACAACGCTGCCTCTGCTGCACTAAATTTCCAAGCAGTATTGTCAGCTCTGCCTAAGTACACTCCTGTTGGGACAACAGAATATATCCCAATCATCTCTTCTCTATAAAAGAAAGAGAAGTTGTCAAAGAGGGTGACTCAGGGCTGACAAAATTACTTGGTACTTGCAGTAGTGCAATGCCAGTTTACTACAAGAAGTTTGGAGCTCACTACAGTTCAATCTGTTTTTTTTTAATGTTGTTTTATTACGTTTTTAACTGCTTCCCCTCCGCCCTATAGCAGAAATACTGTTACAGGGTGGCAGGGGTGTGCAAAATCACGTGTATATACGTGTGATTTTGCATTACCGGGCAGGGGGCACATGCAAGCTGCCATTCGTGACCTTGGCTTTCAATCACTAGGTCTCGGACGGTGATTACTCGCCGACACCTGGTGACGCCGAGTATCTCCGACTGGGGACAGAGCTGTATGTAAACAACACTGATCTCTCCCGTCAGCTCCTGAACACTGCTTTGTATGGTTCTGCATAGCAGAGCCATACAAAGCAGTGTGCTTACAGTGAAACACAGACACAGCCCATGTTGTAAAACAGCACACAGTTAACCCCTTTGATCGCCCCATGTTAACCCCTTCCTGCCCAGTGCCATTAGTACAGTGTCGGTGCTTTTTATTAGCACTGATCACTGTATTGGTTTCACTGGCGATGTCAGTGACACCAAATCAGTTCCCCTCCTCGTGTCAGAATGCCTGCCGCAGTCCCACTATAAGTCATTGATCGCCGCCATTACTAGTATTAAAAAGAAAAAAAAAATTCCCGTATCTATACCGCCATTTGTAAACTTGCACGTAAACTAAATAAATTTACACGTATTGGGATTTTTTTCTAGCACAGACATGTCACAGAATATATTTTGGCCTAAATTTATGATGAAATTTAATTTTTTTACTGGACATGTTTAATAGTAAAAAGGCAAAAAAATATTTTTTTTTCCTCAAAATTACATTTTTTTGTTTATAGTTCAAAAATAAAAATTGCACAGGTGATCAAATACCACTATTTGTGTGGAAAAAAAAAAACGTAAATTTCATTTGGGTGCAGCATTGTATGATCAGGCAATTGTCAGTTAAAGAAATGCAGCACCGTATCGCAAAAAATGGCCTGGTCAAGAAGGGGGGGTAAATCTTCTGGAGGGCAAGAGAAAAAAAATAAACACATAAATTATGTGTGTATTACAGAGATGCACTCATTTTTTTCCAAGACATACGCTTCTCACGGAAATGGAATGCCTGATCTATGGAAAGTTGAAGGTTGATTTGTTTGCACCTCAGCACTTATTACAGAAAAAGAGCAAGATTCTCTAGCACATCAGGTGATTTGGTGTGCTTTTAATTGGAAGAGTTTCATCAGAAATATCTGATTCTCTTGATCCATCAATCAATTCGCTCATCTCTGCTATTGACAGATCATAGTAATACAGAGTCAGGTGCAGTGCAAGATGGGACTACAGCTATTATTGAGATTCCTCCACACTTCAGCAGAGACCTTAAATTGCATCTCATCTGTAACCATTTAACAAAGAAAGAACCTGCAAACATTGCAGATAACCACAACCAGTTAATATTTGATAATGAATTTCCATCTGCTGTAAGCGTATTTATATAAAATTATAAAAATACTTCACATTAACATGAGATTAAAATGTATGATAAAATATGTCCACTGTGATTTCTCTCATAGCAAAGTAGCTAGCCAGAAGACGTTGCTAAACATGTTTTTGTTGGATAGCAGCATCCAATTCCTTGGTGACTGAGGAGGGGGCAGGTAATAAATACAGATTACCCTAGTAATCTTCCTCAACCGGGTCCAGAGAGGTTCATACATTATGTATAAGGGACCTGCACAGACAGAGCAGATTGTTCTAAAATGCATCATGCCAGCTCTGGGATGTATATGAAGGTGTGTTATCTTATAAGCAACTGTGAAACTCTGCAGTACAACAAAAAGGTATATTAAAAAGCCTAATAGATATTGACATAGCTAAGAGATCATTACCAGGAGATAAAGACTTTGTTTGCAGCTTGAGTTAGCAATGTTAAAGTGTAATAATGTCTAGTTGGCACATAGTGCAGCTATGAATGTATTAGTCCATGTAGCTATGCTAGTGCATGCATTGCAATGAGAACATTTGTGTAAGCAACAGTTGTCAACAGTGCGATAAATGCAACATATACATGACATGTACATCCAAATGGAAATTGGAGCATTAAGGGACACGGCACAACAGCACACACTAATATTCATTAAAAAACTTAGGAAAAATAGGAGAAAAACATGCCATGGCAATGCAGCTTTTCTACGAAAGCCTAGGATTATGGCTGGTCATGGCAGGATATGCTTGGCACTCATAGGAGCCAGCTCTCTTCCCACACAACCTTTGTTAATTAACAGTGATTAAATACTTAGTAATTAATTGCCGGGGGGTGACACTGGCTCCCGTGTCTCTTTAAGATGGCTTCGAATGAGTTCATTATATGGTGGGTCTAACCTTGTTAGGGAGGGATGAAGAGTGCTATTGATCTGGCACTGATTGGTTTAACTAACTCTCAGACCTGTAATTAAGGAAAGAATTGCAGTCCAGATGCCCTGAAAGGGTGAGTTGTTTTTTTTCCCCCCTTCCAAACAGACAATAGTATGTAAGAAAGTGCTGCTTTGAAATGACAAATATCCACTAGGCATTTAGTTGTGATTCACCCTTACAGAACTCCATTATGATGTTAGATATGCAATCGGGTTGATTTATTAACACAGGAGAGTGCACAATCTGATGCAGCTGTGCATAGTAGCCAATCAGCTTCTAACTTCAGCTTGTTCAATTAAGCATTGATGAAAAAAAACAAACTTGGAAGCTGATTGGTTTCTATAGAGAGCTGCACCAGATTTAGCATTTTCCAGTTTTAGTAAATCAATCCCACTGTCAAGTGAAGGGTACCCACCAACTCCAGTACAGACAGTGAAAAGCATTGTCTGTTCAAGAGCAGGTATTGTATGTAAATATGGATCCTAAATGCCCACTTTATAGTCATATACTTCAAACAGTGCATTCCAAGTAATTCAACATTTTTGTCAGCACAGCAAAGCAAAAAGCACACAGTCTTATCTGAAGAGGTTATAGCTAGGTATTTTTTTGTGTTTTTTTAACAATAAATTACAGTTGCACACATGCATGTATCACAGAATATCCAAGAATCAATGTAGTGTTCTACAATGGAAAAAATAAGAAAGCATATTCTGTTTCCCACTTACAATATATTTGAGCACACAACTGATGATCAAATAAACAAAATTGTGTCTAATATGAAAAAAGACAAGAAGATGAGGAACAGCTTTTATAGATTACATAACATGTCAGGATAAAGCATAAACAAAATGTCCCTCTTAACCAGACAGGCCAGATCCTAGAAGCTAGGTAGCAAATGTACCTAGAACATTACAACAAGATCACATTTTAGGGCTCTATTATTGTTGTCATTAAATGAGCATGTTCACTAGACTGATCTGACTGGTATAAAATTGAAGATATATTTCTCCACCTTGTTTAAAGCTCAAATCTGAGCACAACAAATAAGTACCCTTGTAGTGGGTCCCCCCGTATTGTAGGCGTTAAATACTTGTTAAGTCCAGGTGGGTTGCCAAAGAGGCTGTATTACTTACTGTTTTCTTTGCTCCAGTAGGCTCCCTCCAACAGTGTGACCAGTCCCTCACAGCCTCCTCTTGGCTGCATCCATGCTTCCCCAACCACATACAATACAAGGTTAATAGCCGTGCATTGTATGTGATGATGCTGAAGAACTGCCCGCCGGTGGGAGCTTTGGTGAGAAGTGGGCAGCAGCAGAGTGGGGAAGTCAAGTAAGTAATGCAGCCAATTTCTGTATCCCATAGACCTAATGATCATTTAAAGTAGTGTTACCCCCCAAAAAAAATGTATTATATTGCAGTTTACCAATTCTTAGATGTGATGGCTGCATTCATTTCTTTTTTATGCTTTTTTTTTCTTTTGTTTTCATCTAGTGATCCAGCCAGTAAGTTTTTTTTTTCAATATAACAAGCTCTCCTGCAAATGTAGCAGTTAAGAGGGTTGAGACAAACCATTTACCACTAATATGGGTACTTACAATTATCAGCTTTTATTTATTCATGTAAAACCTTTATCCCCCAAAAATGTTGCTGTAACTGCCTGTGTAACTGCAATGAGAGCTGGAGTTTGGCTTCAATTTGTTAGTGTATCTAAATCTGCTAGTACATCTAACACTCTCCTTCCTCTAGACTGACATTGCCGCTTTTCAAAAGTGTCTCTGTTGCCCCTTCATCTAGAGTGGGGGCCCTCTAATACAGGTGTGCTACTGGCCAGATCGCCGGGTGAAAACAAAAGGCCACAAAACCACACAAAAATGAATGCAGCCACCACACCTAAGCATTGGTAAGCTTTAATATATTTTTGGTCTTGGATCTAATAATTTAAACCCTGTAGTGCAGGGGGCCCCACTGCAAAGGTTTTTTTTGTTGTGCCCAGAGTTTTAACAAATGGCACACACCCGCAATGTTTACATAGCAATAATCAATGAGAGGGAGTGAACAATAATATCAAGTCAACACAAAACATGATCTCTTTATTGACATACTGCATATAGCTCTGCTAACCATGTGCTGTGAGATGGAAAAACAAGCATTTGCCTTAGTTCAGGGTGTTCTTTTAATCCTCTTTATGCTTTCATTCTGCTAGTTGCTGCAAGCCCTGCTATCAACAAAAAGGTCAAACATGAAGGTCCTTATGGTTGCAAGAAGTGTGAGATTTATCCTTAACCCTCCAGCTGACTTAACACTTCTCTGACACCAGAGATAAGAGCCTCACTCTCCTTGGGGTGTGTAAGCACAGCACTCTGCAGGCGGCTCATATATGAGTCAATTGTCTCCAGGGTCGGTGTCTCGGTGGTACCTGAGTGAAGGAACAGAAGGAGAATTACAGAAGACAGTGATGAGGATGTATAGAAAAATAGCAGGTATCAGTCAAATGTATGCTACCGCATATCAATCACCGTCAGGACTTTCTCCAACTAAAGTTACAATTCTAAAGCTGGGTACACACTATATAAAAATTGTATTCTTTATGAGGAACGTTTGTTCCATTTTCATATAGTATGTACACAACTTTCAACATCCAATTCTGAGTTTCCAAACAAAAATTTCCAGAAGGGACAAACTCCAAATGTTTCCAAATTTGGCCGTACACCTGAACCATCCTAGGACAGCCTGCTTCACTTCGTCATTGTGTTCAACATTTGCACAAAAAGATTCATCTCTTGTGCAATTTCCAGACATATTATGCATTGATTATCCAGGATCAGGCATTCCACGTGCTGAATGTTCACAGGAAGCACTGCTGTGGGTTAGGAACCACCGCGCCTGGAATCATCACTGACAGATGTATGGTCATCCGTGAAACGTTTACACCATTCAAATGTCTTACTGTGGCTCAGCGTCTCATCCCTGTACTGTGCTTGAAGTGTTCTGTAGATAAACGTGGGTTTTACACCTTTGTTCACAAGAAACTTCATCACCACACGCACAAACACTGTTGTTTGCCATCTTAATTAAAAGGTCTCTGGATTGGCCCATGACATATGACATGACTTATCGGTAATAAGACACACTTACTACTGCATATAAAACCGTCTCAATAGCATCCTTTTTTATACCTGTAAAATTAGTCCCGGTAGGATTTGAATGCCCCTTGTACCATTGTTGGTTACATCATGATACGCACCTTCAGACGACACATTGTTCAATTTTCTCATAATGTGTACCCAGCATTAGATTAACTTGTTTCTGTTTAAGTTCAAATATACCTCAGCTCTTTCTTTCCCATGCTTTCCTCTGTTTACTTTCACATCAACACTCAATCCTGTCACTTTCTTTGATTTATTCACACTACAGTCTAATTCTGTTCTTTCCTCGATGTGTCGACTACAACACCTGCATAATGAGTGGATGGAAGTCATGCAAGGGGCTAGACTAAGCTTATACATACATATTAGTGGTGAGAATAAGCAGCATGGACAGAATAAATACCTGGGATAGGGACGGCTTGCAGGCAGTGTGTAAGAGTCTGGCGAACATTTTGTAAATGCTGCTGTAGCAGTGTGTTCCTCCCCTGTTCTTGCTGCAATTCGGCCTCCAATCTCTGCACTGCAGATCGCATGCTTTCCACATGCTTCTGTAGTGCTGCGTTCCGTTCCTCATGCTCCATGTTGGATTTCCTAAGCTGTCTTAACTCTGTTTCCCGTGCTGCAAAAGAATGATGGATGGCAATGAAATGAGTACAGGTCTAACCAAAGTATCCTGCTGCTTCCAAAAGAGAATTACAAACTATTCTTTCAGCAAAAAGAAGGTGCATCAATCATAAACCCTCCCAGCACTGTGACCCAACACCCTCACCTTTGCTGTGATTCAGAAATTCTTCTGTGAAAATAGGAATATCAAATACTGATCTCTCTTTCAACACAGATTCTTTCTGAAATAGAAAAAATACAAGATGATGGAGAGTAGAGTGCACATAGAAGGGAACAGGCAGAAGCAGGGTGATCAGTGCAAAACACCAGAGAGGGGAATATGCTCCAGATGAGAGGCCAACAGTCATTCACAAAGCAGGTAAGGATGAAATGAGTGCATTAGGTTAGCTGAAAAAGGGATCACAGAGAACATAATGTAGGATGATACAACATATTACGTAAAGACGTTGGGAAATGTAAATCTGGGAATAACTTTCATTAGTTGTGAAAATATGTTGTGATAAAACCATAGCTTGGTTCTAAGTACACTAAGAGAATTTCCCTCATTAGAGCTACAGGAAGTATGTCTGCTTTAAGTTGTGTGCATTATGCAGAGAGAACAAAACGGGAAAGGATATTTTATAATTCTGTCAGTTTTAATATTTCTATTCTTGGCAGTGGTGAAAATTTACAAAAAACTCACCCGGCAGAAAACTGGGCTGTTTCTGAATTTTTACTGGAATATAAAACTTCCAGAACGTGCTATTTTATGGCGGATATCTGCATAATTTTTGTCTCTCTGTGTAACACACACACACATATATATATACACACATATATATATATATATATATACATACACACACACACACACGCATTATATATATATATATATATATATATATAACACACCATACATTCACATAACACATTCATATACACACACACACACACATATAAACACTTTCAGATTTCTTAAAAAGCATAGAAAGAGCCTAAATGCCTTTTCTTTTTCTTTTTTTTTTTTTACATCACTCTAAATGTGTCCTTCCAGGCTAGTTTCTACAGTACTGAACCTGGCCTGAAAGCCAGCCAGAGGGAGGCCTCTAGGACAGCTGGAGAACATTGTATACTTGTTCATGATCCTAACGCTGCATGCCGTGTAATGGCAGAGGCCAGAATGAGATACAGCACAACTGATTCATAACAGCAATGTCAGGAAACAGTTTTAGGGTATATAAGAGTTACACATGTCCTTTATAGTTGTAGCATTACTGCATACTTGTATACTGTATTATAAATTGTGTAAATTACCCTTTATATCTGCCCACCCATCCCTTGCTTTTATCTTACCTTGGTTTATCTTCTTGTTTGTCACTTTAAGCAAGCCATAGATTGTAGAATTTTCTTTCGTTCTTTCCACCACAGGTGGGAGGAAAGAAAATTGCTCAATTCCCCCATCAACACACTCTGTAATGATGGAGGAGTCCCTCTTGCAGCTATTGTTTTCTGATAGTGGGAGGCCTTCACTGGCAGCAGAACACAATGATCACTGCAGGTGGCTAAAGCATGAAAAAAATCCAACAGGCTGGTTGTACTGAAGTTGATTGATAGTTAGACTTCAGTACAACCAGTCTGCCCATACATGGATCGAATCTCAGCCAGTCCCTACTGAACCAGCCAAGATTTGATCCATCTATGGCTGCCCTACAGTGATTGAAAACCTTCGTCTTGTAAAACAACCCATTCAGTTTAAAATAGAAATGAAAGGCAAAACATTAGATATAAACAAAATATATATAAAACTCCCCCCCCCCCCCTTTTTTTTTTTTTTTTTTAAATAAGAATTCAAATTTCTTCTATACTCAGCTGCATAAGAGCATGTGGAGGAGAAGCAACAGAACACTGAACTTCCCATTGAGTGGCACTGCAGGGGGTGGGGGGTATCAGGACAAATATGATCATTGGAGGAGCACATTGAGTTACAGGCATAGCTAGAGAACTGACCATGCTGTGCTCTTCTACTTAGTTTGGTCAGTTTTTTATTAGGAAAGCAAGGGGAATGGCAGGAACACCAGGGATTTCACACAAAGGAAACAATACAAAGAAAACAGGATACTTTTCCATACAAGTACATGGTACAGCAGGCATATATCAAGAATGTAACATTTTGGGTTTTACATATGCTTTAACTGTAAAACAAGGGGAGCAACTTAGGACTAATAAATTTGGAAGATGGAATAGAAGAACGGATTCTGTGGGTATTCATTTTCCCTCTCAAACATCTGACTTACTTTGTACTCTTCAAATTTTTGTTTTCTGTTTGATATTTACCATTTATGCTTCAAGACTGCAATGCCATTTAGACACTTTAATCTCCCTAGTCTGCCTGCTTGTGTAATCTATCCAACCACATTACCTTGTCCTCCCTTTTCTGTTGTTATTTAATGCTTCTCACACTGTTTTTCAATCCTGTGCCATGTTTCTACACTCAGGCTGTCACTCCTGTTTATAACTATCCTATACATCTATACTAAATACCCATCTTCGTGTTATTACTCCGAGTGAATGCCGCACTTAAAACATCAATTGTTTCCAAATCAATTATATTGCTCATTTATGTACATGTTTGTATATCTGATTACTTAAATAATTGATCTATCAGCACCCAATAAAGAATGTAGAGACCAATAATTATTTTAATCAGAAACGTAAAAACCCACAGAGAATATTGCAGTTCATGCATTTAAAAATGTTTTTATTATCAGAAAGGAAACTATGTAGTAAAAGTTGGTAAAGACAAATAATAGAGCCTTACTACATAAACACAGCCTCACCTCAGGGTCACTGGAGATTGGACGTGATCCTTCTAAGAAAAGGAAAAAAAAAGGGAGGAATCACGTAAGGCACGGTGTCTTGAATACATTAACAACTACAGAGCTTCAATACCAATCTCCAATCCCGAAAACATTTTGCTGTTGCAAAGGTATTTCACTGCCAAAGCCACTAGCGTCGATTTAGAGCATGTGCACTTTGCAAGGTGAATTTTCCCTTAGCTTAGTGAATGACGTAAAGCTGTGCTGACCTCAATTATCCAATCACATACAAGCAAGAATCCATTTTTCTTCCACATTGCATAGCAAGTTTTCACTTACCATAGTTTAACAAACAGAACATGTTCTACTCCTTTAGTAAATCAACCCCATGATGTCTATACCTTCAGTTAATCCAGTTTTGTATTTTACATAGGACTAGCATAAGTGCCACAATCGGTCTCCAATTATCATCCTCTTTATATAAATAATTGCACAGCAGCATTCAGACTGGACAAGAGAGGGGCATTAATCAGGGTTGCAATGCCCAGTGCTTTGCAACCCTGCTGTTTTTATTGTCCAGTCAGAGGCTAGGGAACACTCAGGACTAAGCTATGTTGGTAGGTCCAGAACATTGGCAGGGGTGTCTGAATCACAAGACTGGCTGAGCAGAATTACAATTTCTTTGGCAAGTAAAAAAGGTTCATATGTATTTTAGCCGTTTGCTAAATGTTTAGGATAAAAATACTTCCTATAAACTGACCTGATTACATGAAAGCTTTGTTCACACCATACATGCAGAAAAACTGATGGAAAAATGCACAGATTTCACTTGCAGAGACACAAGTTTTCATGCGCGCTTCAGTGAGTTTTATACACATTGCAGATTTCTATGCAGAAAAAAAAAAATCAGCGCGCAATGCTGGTGTTTTGGTGTGAACAGGGGCGGACTGACCATTTGGAAACTCGGGCACTACCCGATGGCCCGGGATCAGTAGGGGGCCCCATGAGATGCCCCTGGAGCCTTTTTCATAGGCTTTTTTGAGTTTGGGCAAGGACACAGGGGCCCCATGATCCCCTATTGCCCGGGGGCCCCATGAGTTGTCAGTCCGTCCCTGGGTGTGAATATTGCAGAACACATGCAAAAAAACTTCCATCTCTGCACACTAGTGTGAACGAGGCCTTAATTAAAAGCTATAAAAAAATGTAACTCATTAGCTCTTAGGCCACTGCTTTCTTACCACAACGTACCCTGTCTTTGCTGCCTCCCTTTCTGACGGTTCTGTGACTTTCGGCTGTATGAACGAAAAGCCTCTGTTTTCTGGTACTGCTGCAGTTCCTTTGTGTACCGTTCCTTGTCTCTATCTGCTTCATCCAGGTAGCGCTGCAACAATATACACAACTCAGTGTTGGAGAGTAAAACTCTTGGTCTAATGGAGGACAGAGCACAGAGACACAGGACAGGAAAATGGATGGACTACCATGCTGATGAAAAGTCAGAGACAAACAGGAATATCAGTGGGCTCAGGATATGAATGAATGCTGTGTTCTCATGGGAATGTTGGAACATCTTTAAACACATTTCTCAGTAGTAGAGCCTTGTACTGTGTTAGCGATCAATTAATTATTATTATTATTATACAGGATTTATATAACGCCAACAGTTTGCTCAGCGCTTTACAATAATTAATGCAGAAAGTCTGGATTTTAAGGGATACCATTTATTGTCTAAAGATGCACATTTTGGGGATTTAGGTCCCAAATTGCAGTTGTATAATTCAAGAGGAAGGAATATAAAACACTGAAAGCTTGCGATTTCTTTAATGCCAAACTTTCTGCAACACATTTTTAACATATCTCGGTGAACACAGGGGGCTTCATTTACTACTCAACTAATAAGACGCATAAAAGTTTGCATCAAGTTTGTCAGAACACTAAAGACAAGCGTGTCTGTGCATCAAGCATCAGGCTCAGCAATTATTTTTAATTTACCAAGCTACAAGACTCTTTCTTTAGTCCCTTGGAATACCTTCAGCTCCCACTTGGGAATGAAGACTTCAGATCTTAAAGCAAATGTATACTCTTTTCTAAATAGAAGGGTACGATGTCGGCTTCTTAAAATCATATTTTCAATGTTAATGTTTTGAAAATCTTTGCTCCTATCTATAGTTTGTAAGTATATAGTTTGTAAATACATAGTGCATGAACCTTGAGCAGCAACTTATCTCAATACTTACGTAGACTCACTAGACAAGTAGACTCGACCTGATTTGCAGTGTAATTACGTAGTGACACTTTCATTTGACTTTGGTTGCATTTTGATGCGGTTTGCATATTTTGTGGGGCCAAACTGCACTGAAAATTGGCCCAAAGTAGCAAAGGACCCTTTCCCAAAGTTGCACTGCAGCTCCGCTGCATTGATGTGAACAGGCACCATTGGAAACAATGTTATTTCTAATGGTGCACCGAAATAAAAATTCCAGTGCCGAAACCGAAAATTCAGGATGCACTTGGTGGAAAACCAAAACCAACAGTTCAAATTTTTTTTTTTTATTTAACCACTTGCCTACCAGGCACTTCTACCCCCTTCCTGTCCAGGCCAATTTTCAGCTGTCGCACTTCGAATAACAATTGCGCAGTCATGCAACACTGCATCCATATGAAATGATTATCATTTTTTTTTACACAAATAGAGCTTTCTTTTGGTGGTATTTAATCACCGCTGGGTGTTTTATTTTTTGTGCTATAAACAAAAAAAAAAACATTTTGCAAACAGGTAAATTTTCTGCATCACTGATGTGCGTTGTTGAGGCTGCACTGACAGGCAGCATTGATGGGCACTGATAGGCAGCACTGATGAGGTGGCATGGATAGACACTGATAGGCGGCACTGATCATCAGGGCCGATCCCGTCGCTGCCAACTGCTGGTTCTTGGCAGTACTTTCCTCACACAGTCACAAGTGCAGCCGATAACCGGCAACTGTATTTACCCGGTGATCCTTTGTGTCACTGGACTCAGCTGATCACGTGGTAAAAGAATGCCGTGATTGGCCATTTATCGTATCACGTGATCAGCTGTGTCCGTAGGACACAGCTGATCACCAGCGCCGCTGGGGGCTCGCAGGGGGATGTGTACTGGAATGACTTCCATGGACATCTTCCCAGAACTAGATAACCGCGCTGTAGCCGTCCTTCGGCTATAGCTTGGTTGGGAACTGGTTAATTAATGTGGCGTTTTTGCATTGAAGTCATTAGGGGACATTTTTGCACTGAAGTCACTAGGGGTTGTATTTGTATTGAAGTCTATGGGGACATGATTTTGCATTAAAGTCACTAGGGGGTGTTATAAAGTCCATGGGACACGTCTTTGCATTAAACACTTGCCCTCTACCCTATAGCAGAAGTACTGTTACAGGGTGGGAGGCTGTGCAAAATCTCATATATAACCATGCTGCTATTGGTGGCTAGAGATGTCATTCACCTTGTCCCGGCTACCAATTCCCAGCCGGCACTCGACGATCGTTTGGGTAAACAACACAGTCTCTCTCCTGTCAGCATGGACATGCTGCTTTGTATCTCTCTGCTGCACAGTGCACACAGTAAAACACACACAGCACACAGTTAACCCCTTGATCGCCCCAGTTGTTAACCCCTTCCTGCCAAGTGTCATTAGTACAGTGTCAGTGCTTTTTATTAGCAGTGACCACTGTATTAGTGTCACTGGAGATGTCAGTGGCAGGTAGTTCCCACCCAGTGTCAGAATGCCCGACGCAGTCCTGCTTTAAGTCGCTGATCGCTCCCATTACTAGTATAAAAAAAAAATAATGAAAATTTCAGTATATATGCTGCCATTTGTAGATGTTATAACTTTCATGTAAACCAATTAATTTACACGTATTGTGATTTTTGTTTTTACCAAAGACATGTAGCAGAATACATTTTGGCCTAAATTTATGAAGAAATTTGATTTATTACATTTTTTTATTGGATATGTTTTATAGCAAAAAGTCAAAAATATTGGTTTTTTCAAAATTATTACTTTTTTTTGTTTATAGCACATAAAATAAAACACAGCGTTAATTAAATACCACCGAAAGAAAGCTCTATTTGTGGGGAAAAAAAATTACATAAATTTCATTTATGTACAGCATTGCATGACCATACAATTGTCAGTTAAAGTAACGCAGCGCCGTAACACAAAAAATGGCCTGGTCAGGAAGGAGAGTAAATCCTCCGCAGGGCGAGTGGTTATAGTCTATGGGGACGTGATTTTGCATTAAAGTCACTAAGGGGTGTTTTTGCATGAAAGTCTATGGGATATGATTTTGCATGAAATTCTATGCGACGGAACTTTGCATGTAAGTTGCATCAACACATTTCTTTTATAATAAAAACAGAGATGCCATTATTGGCACCTTTTTTTGTATCGGCAAAATGCCAACACTATTTTCGGCCAATACGTTTCAGACACCGATATATCGGTGCATCCCTAGTTATTTCCATTGCCATGTGATTCACTGCAACCCGAGTGAATGGCTAATGTATTGCATTTCTGTGCCATAAAATTAACTTTTGTGTAATTTTTGCTGAAATTTTGCGTTTCCTAGACCTTTTCTGTAATAACATGCAACATTAAAAATTGGAACTACCACTATTTTATTCTCCGGGGTGCAAAGAAATGCAAAAATGGCAGCAAAAGGGTTAAATGCTCTAGTATAACAAAAGTAAAATTCAGTAAATCATGTGACTTGATGACACTGTTAGAACATGTCAAAATCAATTGTTTGTTGTTATCTAAGGCAATGACACCATAAACCATGCTAAACAAGCACTTTCATACATCATATACACTCAGTCACACAAACATGCACAGAATGTACATTTACACAAATGTACACAAAAGACACCACCCACTCATTCACAAAAAATATTTGCACACACAATACATTCTCATCTCCACCTGTAAGCTGAATGGAGAAGAATGGGGGAATGTTGCAGGTTACAGGCAAAACACAGCAGCCAACATCTATCCTTCTGCTGACATATACATGAGGAAAGGTACAAACAGTATACAAATGTGATATAACATATTCTCCCCTGTCCTTATAGAGTTGTCTGTGACAAAGAGGTAGAGGGCAAGATTTCTGGACCCTCAGGGTAGCACAAGGTGCATGGGCTACCACCTGGATTGCACTGCACCAGATTACCGCCTAATCTTCAATATGCATATGCTTGTGTTAAAAATATGCTGTGAGCCTTGAAATCACAGAAATGCCTCCTGCTTACAAAGCTAAAAATAAAACATTTAGGATGACTTTCCCCACTTACATTGCCAAGTCAAAATGCGACACAGAAGATTCATGGACTTTGTGGGCTACAATAGAGCTCAGGACACCTAGTCACAACCAGCTGATTGGTAGTAAAGCTGAAAAGCAGAACAGCCAACCTGGTTGGCATACATATTTTTGGACATGTTCAGCACATAAACAGATATTTTATTGCTGCAGACGGACAGCTTTTCCTAAGAAGCTATGATCAGATTTAAGGTGTATCTAAACCAAAGAACTAACAATATAATAAAATACTGCAGCTTTTCAGTCCTCAGCAGTGGAGGAGACATTAGTTTCTTTTTCTCTGTTTTTGCCTGGTGATCCTGCAAGTAATACACTTCCTGTGCTACACTGACAATACTCACATTACTGAATGTATGGAGGAGCAGCTTTGTCGTCCCAGACTACTCTCTCTGAAGCAGAAGTAACCTCGGCAGGGCTGATGGGATTTTAGTGCAACACAGGCACTGTGTTATCAGCTCACTAGAGAGTTATGAGCTCAACTTTTTGGCAGATCAACAGGTATTTTCTTGCACTTATCAAACAAATGAACAAAACACTTTCAAAAGCATATTTGACTGACCAAAAGGGAGCAAATAAGAGACGTTCACTGTCAGTGTTTACATACGCTTTAAACAACTTGTCCATGAGCTTAATGCTATGTGAACATTTTTGTAATCACCTGTTTCTCATGAGTAGGCAACTTGCTCCACTCACTGCCAACAATTCTGGTAATTTCTGGAAATGGAACATCTGGGCGTTCAGCTCTTAACTGTTCCCGCCTTTCATTCATGAAGCGCACATAACCTGTAAGGGGTGCTTTAGGTGCATTGTTATCACGGGGGCTTCTCTTCCTCTTCCGCCCTTTGGTCCATCCTCCCCGCCGAGGTCTAGGTTGCTTATAGACAGAACAAACATATTTTAGTTGCCCTCTCAATGTCTTTTATATATAGTTATCAATCTTTGATAATCAATAGCAGCAAAAGGAACATTTACATGTTAACGTCCTGCTTAACATTGTGTTGGCACGTGGCCTTATAAGGAACCGGGGTGACAGTCATGTAATACGATGTTCCTATTTTACACTTTTTATTTAGGATTATAATGAATATCTAACTCTAAATATTGAAACTATTTTGCCTTCTATCTAAAGCCAAAATTTGTTTTTTAGTAAAAAACCTCTGTTTGGGTTAAAACCTCTGTCTGAGTAGTGTTTGCTTTCTTAACAAAAAGTGCAGACTAAATCTTTTTAAGGAGATCCCAGAGCTCCAATGTGTAATTTAAAAACAGTGCAAAATTCAAGAAATACAGTAACTTGCACACAATGATCTAATGAATGGTCACTGGAGCACTGAGGTTTAAAAGAAAAGTATGGCCAAAGCTTTTTGGCTGTATTTCTCTTGAGGTTCAGGAAGAATCTTGACAGCATTGTCTGTATAAACCCGGCTGCCTGATTGACAGGGCACGTAGCTGAGAGCCAGCTATGTCCGCCTCCTCAGCCAATTGGCTGCACAGTGCTGATCAGTGTATACTGACAGCGGAGGAGTCCCTGCTGTCAGAATACAATAGTGCCACGGGGAGGATTCCCCCATCCACCTTGCTTGTGTGAAGGGGGAATAATTATTTTTTTTGATCAGCCCGCTTAAAAAAGATGCATCTATGGCCAGCTTGACAGTCACTGCTTACCACTACAAACAGGCCAAAACCTGACTGATTAGCGTTCATGTGTTCATTCAGTTCTTGGATTGCATCTGATCTACAAATTAGTAATATTGCCAAAAGTATTGGGACGCCTGCCTTTACAAGCACATGAACTTTAATGGCATCCCAGTCTTAGTCCATAGGATTCAATGTTGAGTTGGCCCACCCTTTGCAGCTATAAGAGCTTCAACTCTTCTGGGAAGACTGTCTGTCCACAAGGTTTAGGAGTGTGTCTATGGGAATGTTTGGCCATTCTTCCAGAAGCGCATTTGTGAGGTCAGGCACTGATATCGGACGAGAAGGCCTGGCTCGCAGTCTCCACTCTAATTCATCCCAAGGTGTTCTATTGGGTTGAGGTCAGGACTCTGTGCAGGCCAGTCAAGTTCCTCCACCCCAACTTGCTCAACCGGTTCTTTATGGACCTTGCTTTGTGCACTGGTCGCGCAGTAATATTGGAAAAGGAAAGGGCCATCCCCAAACTCTTCCCACAAGGTTGGGAGCATGAAATTGTCCAAAATGTCTTGGTATACTTACACCTTAAGAGTTCCCTTCACTGGAACTAAGGGGCAAAGCCCAACCCCTATAAAACAACCCCACACCATAATCCCCCCTCCACCAAACTTTACACTTGGCACAAAGAAGTCAGGCAAGTACCGTTCTGCTCGCAACCGCCAAACCCAGGCATGTCCATTGGATTGCCAGACAGAGAAGCATGATTCTTCACTCCAGAGAACACGTCTCCACTGCTTTAGAGTCAAGTGGCGGTGTGCTTTACACCACTGCATCCGAAGCTTTGCATTGCACTTGGTGATGTAAGGCTTGGATGCAGCTGCTCAGCCATGGAAACCCATTCCATTAAGCTCTCTACGCACTGTTGTTGTGCTAATCTGAAGAAGTTTGGAGGTCTTTAGCTATTGACTCTGCAGACAGTTGGCAACTTCTGCCACTTCGTGGCTGAGTTGTTGTTCCCAGTTGCTATAATATCACTAACAGTTGACTGTGAAATATTTAGTAGGGAGGAAATTTTACAGATGGACTTATTGCATAGGTGACAACCTATCATGGTACCACGCTTGAATTCACTGAGCTCCTGAGAGTGACGCATTCTTTCACAAATGTTTGTAGAAGCAGTCTGCATGCCTAGGTGCTTGATTTTATACACCTGTGACCATGGAGGTGATTGGAACACCTGAATCCAATGATTTTGAGAGGTGTCCCAAAACTTTTGGCAATATAGTGTATATATGTACACACACACCATTAGTCATAGGGAATGCGTACAAATATTACAAAAATCTTACGAGCCTGAAATATCTTTGGAGTCCATTCACATCTTTTACATAATTAAACAGCAGCTTTACACTTATCCAATGGATAGTTGTTATACAAAAGAATAGATTATATCACATACTGTATATCCTACGCACATCTTCACAAAAAAAAAATTAAAAAGTTACTCATAAAAAAAACATGTACAATATTAAAATAGCAATAACATAATAAAGAAGTATATAATATAGAAATGTTTATATCTTATTTTTATCAATTATCTTTTTGTTATTTATATGCATTTATTATATTATCATAATGTTTTATTATTAACTAGGAAGTTTTTTATGTATCATTTTTCATATTGTGGGGTATTATTATAGATCAGTAAAGATGTGATTAAGATAAAGAGTACTTTTTAATTATTTATAACACATGAATTAACACAGTCTTGCAGCCTAATATGTTTTCCTAATGGAAAGCTGTTATTTATTTAGTAATTTTGTTTTATTATTAAGTGATGATTTTGGTGCATTCTGTATTGTACGTCTAATGTTTCAGCTAATTAAATACATACACCTTTTAAACGAGATGTACTAAATTGTACTTGTAAATAGGATTCAGTTTAAGTGATGTGTTCGTATACTATACTAATAATACAGTATATACCGTAAGTGATATAATCTATCTTTTTGTATAACTATTCATTGATAAATGTAAAGTTACTGTTTAAATTTTTATAATATGTGAATTTACTCCATCTAGTGGCCATAGAAATGTAGGCTTTTAATATAAGCTTTATTATTTATTTAGTAATTTAATATTAATTGATTATTTTTTATGCATTCCCTATGACTAATAGTTCAGCTATTCAAACATACACCTTTTAAATGAGGCGTATTCATTTGTACTTCTGTTAAGGATTCACTCTGAGTGATGTGTTAGTATACTGTATTTAGAGAGCAGGGTCTCAGAACCTTACAAAGGAGTGGAACCCCAAAAAGGCATTTCAACCTTACAGCCAGAATTGCACACAGGACTCTTGACCTGCAGTCAAATGGACATGATTGTTTTTGCTTTGTGTGTCCTACTGTTGGGATTTCCTTTCACTTTCTGATGAAAGACACAACAGCAAGTGAATAGAAATCCCCCCCCCCCCCCAAATAAGGGAAAATACTTGTAGAGTTGCCACTGAAAAAGATGTCCCCACTGGAAGATCTCGCCCCACATCCTGTTCTAATGATTTTAGCTTTCCTAACACTTTCTGAGTTGCTACCAGGACAAAAGAGAGGTTGAATCGCCTCAGTGGGGACAGGTATTAAAACCAATAAAAACCAGACAGAGGTTATAACCCTTTCCCCACTCTATTGAAAAAAAAAAAAATCAAAACACGCACACACTTTTGGCTTTAGATACACTTTAACAGAAGAAATCCCATAACATCATAGAGTTGATGTCGCTATGGATTTCTCTGCATACCATCTACCATACTATACCCACATTCAAATCTCATTCATCAGTATACTGTTACGATTCTAGAGAATAAAGCCACTGAAACCTAACCTAAGCTAAAGCTGTAAAAAAAAAAAAAAAAAGTAAACCTAATTCTGTCCCCCAAAACAGTTTCTTTAGGTTTTCGTAGTTGCTGGACAGTTTCTTATATCTCTTGGTGACTACTGGTGAGATCTTTTGTTTGAGTTCCCATATCTGCAGACTTGATGTGGCTATTATGAAGGGGGTCTCACTTTTCCGGTTTGATTTACTATAATGAAGAATGTGACAGGAGGCGCCAGAACACACAAGGGTAGACAGAACACCCAAAACTCCAGGTGCACAGAAACAAAGCCAGGAATCGGAGCAGAAGCTCATGCAGTTCATGTATTAAAAATATAAAAGAATTGAGGGGCTGACTCAACACACCAGGCTCCACCTATAGCTAAAAAGTTTTGGACAATCAATTTAAACAATATACTATGCCATTCTAAAGGGGCATTTTAACAGGACAGTTTGAACAGGGTCAAAGTAACTAAGGTCTTTTTCATACTTTGTTAGTTTTTCTTTAGTCATCACTTTAGAATGTGACCACAAAATGTTGTAATCGGTCTTCAAAACCAAATCCATATTAGGAAACTGACTACCCCATATAATAATATTGAATTAATATTCAGTATAAACAAATTTCCCTAGCTCCCTTCAACCGTCCCTTCCATCATCTCTCTCACCTCTTCCTCTGGTCTTCGCTCTCCCCCTTCTAACAAGTGCTGCTGCTCTGCGATTTGATGCTGCAACTGATGATCTTGGTCCTCTTGCTGAGAATTTGGAGGATGTGGAGTTCCATGGGCTTTAGAAACATCAGTTACTTGCGTACTAATGGAAAAAAGAAGAAACGAAATAGAAAACAGCATTGACATCCATCCTAACTTCATAGCAATATGCTGAAACTTGAGCATGTGAATAACTGCTGTAAGGGTTAAAGCGGAACTAAAGACAAAGCTATTTTTACATTTTGGATAGAGTAAGGGAGGGTTATAACCCCTGTTAGTTTATTTTTTTATATCTGTGCCCTACTGAGGAGATTTCCATTCACTTCCAGTCCCATTGTCAAAACAGAAAGTGAGAAGAAATCACTGCAAAATAAGGGATTCCCAGATCGTCCCTAGAACCAGTGCCCCCATTGTAGGATTTGCCCTCTATTCCTGTTCTGGTGGTAACCCAACATTTTGGATATTCTTTTACTTTTACACTCATGAAATGTCATGTTCACTCTGATAACTGTAAACAGGGCAAATGGAGATGGTTAATTTCCATAATGGGGGCAAAGACAGCACTTAAACCTTACAAATATTCTAATTCATCTCCACTCTATCCAAAACCACAACAAATGGTAACTTTAGTCAAGAAAAAAAAAAAAAAAACCAAAACAAATGGTAACTTTAGTCAAGAAAAAAAAACCACCACAACAAATGGTAACTTTAGTCAAGAAAAAAACAAAAAAACAAAACTACTTTGATAGTTACAAGAAAGCACCATATATATCCCAAATAGTGTGAATGTGTTACCTACTAAAATTATGAGTTTAATGTGAAATCATGCAGAAAAAACACAACTCAGCTCAAGTATGTTTTTAGACACAAAAATGTGTAATTACCGTAAAAATGCTTAACCACTTCAAGTGATCCGAAAACCTTCCATGAGCCCACTGACGTGACTAGGCTCAGGTGATACACACTAATTAACCGAATCCTCCTAAATAAGCACTACCTGTTTATCTGCAGCCCTCTTTCCTCCACAGCTTTCCAAAGTAGATGGTATTTCTCAGCTTCAGGAAGGCAGGAGTGAGGATCTAATATCACACACTGCCCAACACTGAGCTGAGCGTAATCTGAGACCTGAGTGAGGGGAAAGAACAAACCTCCTCTACTTAATCTCACTAGGAAACATGCACATCTGAGGCTTTCAATCATCTGCTGTGCGCTGGCGGGGAAGGGGGGGGGGGGGGGGGGGGGGGTCAGGATTGTCTCCAAGGATTGCCTGGTGTCTGGAAAGCTGTCAAACGTGCCTCATGCAGATAGCAGAGAAGGAGCACACAAAGTTCTATATACACAGGCAAGTACACATTATATAAGGATATGTTTTGTTCATTTCCACTTCAGAGGTTTACTAAACTACTTTAAACTCTCACAACTGTACAAAAATGCTATTTGCATTTAACAAAATGTATACAGTTTTCTAAGACAATGGTAAATGCGGCCTTGAGTGGAAAAAAAAAAAAGAAAAGTTAGCAGGGCTGATTAAGGTTAACTAGGAACATGTTTTTTAAATAAGACCCTTTTGTGTTACTTTTAAGGTTTCTTTAACTTATGTTCTATTCAAATCAAAGGAAAACACAGAGCAAGACCTAATGGTCAAAAAACCTGTGGTGGAAAAATGGCTGCTGAAGGTAAAGACCTGGGCACAGGGGGTACACCCTAGGAATTAAAGATTACAATTTTTACGCATACTTGGTAGATTCTAGGTCTTTTTTTTGGTTGTATTTCAGTGAATTAAACAATAATTCTCATACAAGCCTTTTATTTTTCCACTGTTTTGTACCTTGTAAAAATTCAAGAATTAATACAAAGAAAAGAAATACATAAATATATAAATATATCAAGGTAGACTTGATAGGAGACTCACACAGTGAAAGCATGAATGCAGTGCTCAGTATACCACCCTCCAAGATAATTACTAATGATAATGAAAGGGGACACTTACTCACCAGGGTCCCCCAAAAACTCAGTCACAAGACAACTTTACCCCAAAACTGAAAATGTAAATTTTAGATAAGATTTTGAAATCAAGTGTTGGTAAACTCACCCAGGGAATGGTGGATCGACATTCTCCTTGCCATCCTCAATATCACCACAAGGTGGAACAACAGAAGCAGCGCTCTCCATCTAGAAAAATTTAGAAAACATAATTACAAGGTTGAATCTCCACACCACTTACTTTATGCTAGCCTTTTAGTCATAAATGAACATGTGAAGTAATTTTCAGGTCTCGGGAAGCCCCTACTAAAAATATCATGTTTACAGCTCTTGGTACACTAGCATGATGAGTAGGTCACAGGCTTGATGAATTCAAGAATTTGGCACACTACCCCAAATAAAAAAAAAAAAAAAAAAAAAAAGGGAAAGAAATGTCACCCGTGAGAATTGCAGTGTCCATTTATATTGATACAGATGGGCAGTGGAAAGTGAATCCTTACATTGGTGGTCAGCGGGACACCTGATCTTTACATTACTGGTCAATGTACTGCACCTTCAAATTAATGGTAAGAGGGACACATGAGCCTTACATTACTGATCAGTATAATGCACATTGACATTGGCGGTCAACATCAACCATACCCAACACTGGTGGTGTTCGGAATCAACTTAAAAGCGGAGCTTCACCCAAAAGGGGAAGTTCCCCTTTAAGCCTTTGTCCCCCGCTCCCCATTAAGGATTGGCACTTTTGGGGAGTGGGGTACCCTAATTTGACAGGTACCAGCTCCCACTGCGATCGCCTAGGCCAGGGGTAGGCAACCTGCGGCTCTCCAGCTGTTGCAGGACTACAAGTCCCATCATGCCTCTGCAAGTCATAGCTGCAACTATCAGTTTTGTAATGTTGCAATGCCTCATGGGAAATGTAGTTCTACAACAGCTAGAGAGCCGTAGGTTGCCTACCCCTGACCTAGGCGATCAGAAGCAGAAGTTGAACTCCCCCCTCCCCGTAGTCTTCTGAGACACGTGACAGGTCCCAGAAGACTATGGGGCCATTCACAAAGCACAGTGCATGCTCACTGAAGCTGCAAGCTGTCACAGCTGGGTGCCACACTGAAGGTGCCGGCGCCAGGCAGAGAAGATTGACGGTGAAACCAGCGGTGGTGAGGACACCACTGGACTGAGGGACAAGTAAGTGTCTGTATTTTAAGAGTCAGCAGCTAGTTTTTGTAGCTGCTGACTTTTTTCTCTCAGGTGGAACTCCGCTTTAACATTGATGGTCATTGGCAAAAATGCCCTGTTACATTGTGGGTCAGAGGGAAGAAAAGGTTACAGACCTTAGAGACTGGAGGTGAGGCTATAGGCCCCCTGCTGCTGGCTCTGCCAAGTGAAGCGGGGGTCAAAAGTAAGCAGGCACTGGCAGGCTGGAAATCGACCTGCCCATGCTCAAGCAACTCATATATAATCTGGAAGAACCTTGGGCTTCTTTATCTCCATCAGTTAAAAACAGGTCATCAGCACATAGACAGTCTGTGTGTGCTGATGTCCAGCCGATGTTTTTAACTGATGGAAATTAAGGCAACATATTTTTAGCCATGATTTGAGGTGTGCAGTCACCCATTCTTATCATTAGCAGTATCCCTGGCACAAACCGGACCTGTACCCTTTGTTGTGGCTGGAATTAAGTGGTGGATCGACCTAGAGTGGTACATTCTTTCTTCTCAAGTTCCATCAGACCCTGGTTGAGAAAGGTTGGCTTACAGTGGTAAGCATGTAATATAAAAACATCCACAGTATAACAAATCAGGTTATTTTCTCTTCATTTTCAATGGCAGTTAATCATTTCTTATGCTATATGTAAACAGGCAGATACAAAGAGCGCAGCTATATTTAACCATACTCCATGCATGATTGCAGAGAATTGTATACCTAATGTATAACCCCCAGTCTATTCCTGCTGATTTCAATGACTTTTCATCACATGGACTTGCAGACAGATCTCAGATCTACTATAAAATTGTCAAAAACATAAAAGGACAGTTTCAGCAGCCTAGCAGGTTGTCCATTACAAGCGTAATTTCAGAGGCGGCATGCTGGCGACCAAAAGAAATGTTTAAAACGTGCAGGACATTTTCTGACCGCTCTGAAATATTTGACACTAGAGCCACTTATTTTAAAAAGCCTGTTACTCGTAAAATAAAAAACGATATTGGATGTGTATTAGCCAAATAAAAGTATCTACCTTTCTACAGAGTTCTTAGACACTGAACTAATTATCCTTATTCATAGTCTAATAAGGTGAATACACAGATTAAATTACACCCAAGACTGTTTGAGTAATGATGGTATGTGTTACCTCTTCCCTCTTATACTGCAGCTTACCAATTCTTAGATGTGATTAGATATGATGCTCCATGCATTTTCATTTTTAGGCTTGTCTTCTATTTTAATCTGTTGATCCAGCCACTAAGTCTGTATCAGTTACAGACATGAGACAAAACATTTAAAAGTACAGCCAAAGCTTTTTTGTCTGTACTTCTGTGGATCACAGGAGTGCAGTTTGTTCTGCACTCCTGTGACCCGGTTTCAGCTGACTGAAGTCCGCTGTTGGCTGATGTCACTCAGTCGCTTCAGGCTGGAGAGAGATCCCGACTTCAAAGTAGGGATCCACCCCAGAGTCTAGAGCGGCACCTGGCTTAGCGCAGCGCTGAGAGCATGAGAGCCAGCCTCTCCCTCCCCCTGCACAGCCCAGTGCTCCGGTGAGCACTGGGGGGTGGTTGAGCAGACAGCGGTAACTGACAGTCCCGCTCCCTGCTCAGAACGTAAAGGAGAACTCAGCGTTCAGTGGTCATGTAATCGCTGAGTTCTCACCCTTAGAGCCGGCAGGGGACAGATGCAGCATTGTACCAATGCTGCATCCACCTAAGTAAGTATATATAGTAAGTATATCTGAGGGGGAAAAAAAAGCCCTACTTCTCTTAACACTAGCAGAGATTCTTACAATGATCAGCTTTTAACTGTAACTGCCTATACAGTATTAGCTAGAGTTTGGTTTCAATTTGTTGGTGTATCTAAATCTGCTAGCCCATCTAAGCCTCCTCCCCCCAGACTTACAATGCTGCTGTCCAAAGGTGCCACCTGTGCTCCTTCATCCAGAGCACTCTAAAACAGGAGGTTTGTTACTGGCCCGATCACCAGTTGAAAACACAGGGGGAAAAAAGCTTTAAAACAGTAAACTAATGCAGCCATCAAGCTGCAATATACAGTTGTGCTCAAATGTTTCCATGCCCTGGCAGAAATCGTGAAATTTTGGCATTGATATTGAAAATATGACTGATCATGCAAAAAAAAACCCTGTCTTTCATTTAACCACTTCAATACCAGGCACTTTCACCCCCTTTCTACCCAGGCCAATTTACCGGTTTCAGTGCTTTTGCACTTTGACAACTGTGCGGTCATGCAAAACTGTATCCAAAATTAAATTTTTATAATTTTTTTGTGACGTAGCTTTTTTTTGGTGGTATTTAATCATCAATGGACTTTTTATTTTTTTGCTAAACAAATATAAAACGGCCGAAAAAAACTTTTCTTTGTTTCTGGTAAAAAAATTTGCAAATAAATTTTCTTTGTCACTGAAGTGCGCTGATGAGGGTGCATTGGTAGGCACAGATACACACAGATTGGTACTGATGGGGCTGCACTAATATTCTGCACTGTCACAGGAAAGGCAGTTATTGGAATTGCTTGGAAAGCCGATAACCAGTATTTGCTTACATGTGATCCGCTGTGATTTGACACAGCTGATCACATGGTAAAAAGCCAAAGTCATTAGCTCTTTACCCTGATCGGTGATGAGCTGTGTCCAATGCCACAAAAAAGCCCAATTGCAATATACCCAACAGAACCTTGACACACCTGCCGGAGCTTTTTTTTGTGGCATTGGTGCAGTAAAGGCTTCTTTCTGGCAGCTCGACCATGCAGCTCATTTTTGTTTAAGTATTGTGCTCCTTTAAAACAACCACACCGTCTTTTTCCAGAGCAGCCAGTATCTCTTCTGAGGTTACTCTTGGATTTTTCTTTGTATCCCGAACAATTCTTCTGGTAGTTGTGGCTGTAATCATTCTTGGTCTACCTGACCTTGGCTTGGTATCAAGAGATCCCGGAATTTTCCACTTTGATTGAACATTACTGACTGGCATATTCAAGGCTTTGGATATCTTTTTATATCCTTTTCCATCTTTATAAGGTTTTATTACCTTGTTATGCAGGTCTTTTGACAGTTCTTTTCTGTTCTCCATGACTCAATATCTTCCCTGCTTAGTGCATCCACAGGAGAGCTAACAAACTCATTGACTATTTATCACCAAACACTAATTGCAGTTTAAAAAGCCACAGATGTGGGAAATTAACTTTTAATTCCCATTTTAACCCATGTGTGTCACCATATGTGTCTGTACCAAGGCCAAACATTCCAGGGTATGTAAACTTTTGATCAGGGCCATTTGGGTGATTTCTGTTATCATTATGGTTTAAAAAGCAGCCAAACAACTATGTGATAATGAATGGCTTCATACTATCACGATTCTTAAATATAAAATATAGTTTTTTGGCATGAACTGTCATATTTTCAATATCGACGCCAAAATTTCACAATTTCTGCCAGGGTATGAAAACTGAATGGTTGTGTGGATTTTCCCTAGCTGCCGATTATTGCGGTGGATGTCTGTGGTGTGGTTTTCTGCTGTGTGCTTCCCCTCCCTTCTCCAAAGGCATAAGTACACAGCACAAAAAAATTAAAGGAAAACTTTGAAAACACATCAGATCTCAATTGGGAAAAATCTCATGCTGGATATCTATACTGATATGGACTGGGTAAGGATGTAAGGATGCCCCATCGTTTGATGGAAATGAAAATGATCAACCTACAAGGGACTGAATTCAAAGACACCCAGAAAATCAAAGTGAAAAAATGAGGCAGCAGGCTAGTCCATTTTGCTGTAATTTCATAGCAGCAACTCAGAATGGTACTCAGTAGTTTGTATGGCCCCCACATACTTGTATGCATGCCTGACAACATGGGGGCATGCTACTAATGAAACGACCGAAGGTGTCCTGGGGAATTTCATCCCAGATCTGTACCAGAGCATCACTGAGCTCCTGGACAGTCTGATGTACAACCTGGTGGCGTTGGA